CAGATGGAAACATTAAGTAACCTTAAAAGTGTAAATGGATGAACGGGCAAGAGCAGTGAGGGGTTCTAAAGTGTCAAAATTTAGAAAACACAAGAAGTTGTGGAGAACTATGTTCCCCAACATATTGAAAGGGAATCTATATATAATTCTCAAAATGTGTGTATGTATGTGTGTCTGGCTGTGTGATCATCAGTTTTCATCCGATTTCGATTAATTTTTTTTGTTTGATAGATAATTCTTCAGAGCGGCTTTTGAGTCCAAATTGGCAGGAAAAAATTACAACCTTGAAGGTGAAAAATTGAAAAAACTGATTTTTTTACACACTTTGCGCAAAAATCAAAGGCAAAATGTAATGTCTGTAAAAAAACAGCGTACAATTAATTCAGAGAGTTGAAATCTAACGAAAAGATTATTAGAATTATATAAAAAAATTATATTATAAATAAAAATTATCGTATATTATTATCATGACGGTCCATGGAAGAGGTTCCTTCCTTGCAAGATTGAGAACGCAAAAACGGTCCTTTTCAGGGCCACCACCCATTCAAACTGTTAACCCCCCCATTGGGGGTGTGCCTAAGTTGCGCCTCTTGTTGTTACTAATATTAAATTTCAGGTGGGGTGACTTTAAACTTAAACTGCTCCACTTGAACAATAAAAAAGCCAATAATGAAACACCTTGTCGAAAACGGTTATAATGCTAGTGGAACAGAAATGAAGAACAAGAAGAATATTTGACATCTGTCATTGGAAACAAGTGACAACAAGTCTGGGGGGGACATCCATACTGACATTTCTTTTCTCGATCATTTCAACTAGGCTGTTGATAAGTTTTAACTGATAATACAAAAAGTATTAATTTGTCCAAGATAGGCCATCGGGAATACCGACCGATAATCCTTGACAGATAATCCTAATCTGCGATTAAAAATAAAAGATAATACCGTTTTAAAATTTGAATAACTTTGCGAAGAATAAATATATAAATAGTAAAGTAAAATTAAATGGCGCAGCCAGTCGAATCCCAGGATGACAGTCTATTAGGTCGGCTAGCTAATCCCCATTGCAGGAACCTGCTCTGGAACATTTGTGCTTGTCTAATAACCACAGAATCCACCTGTGGTTTATACTGCAACTATGCTGAGCGGACCTTGGTTATCTAGCGTGATCGAGAGCGCGTTTATCTAGCGTGATCAACAGTCTGAAAAAGGCTCAAACCCTCGGTCACGATGACTTGTGGCTTCGTGCTAGCATAACCACCGGCAGCTCCCAAGGCTTCCGTCAACCTAGTTTCATCCACAAGGCTTGGGTCAAGCCGCTGTATGGTTTTCAGGCACTTTCCAAAGGTGCTGCATGCTGGAGTCATCACCTCCGGAGCAATAACATGAAGAAATCACCTTCCTAAAAATTCGACCATGGTGAGATTCGAACCCGGGTCTCATGGCATGAAAGCGAACTTGCCCATAAATATACAAATATGAAGGAGATAATACGAGGGTTGCTGAAAACCGCACAGTAAGTATTATACCTCTATAATAATAATAGTGATTGTAAGATTCATTTAATAATAAAATTCTTTAAAATATTTTCTAATATTTTTATTTTCACAATTTTATTATAATACATTTATTATAATTTTTATTTTTTAATAAATAATTACAATAAATGTTTTGCAGGTAAAAATGGTGTGAATGACGGTGACAAACAGTTTGAATATTTGAGGGATTAATATTAGGTTTATTAAGATATTTTTTATACTTATACGATCTTTTTATAGAAAATAAATTAAGTAAATTATCTGCTTATAATAAACAGCACTAACAACATTTACCGGTCTGAATGCCCAAGAAATTCTTATAGAAAATATTCGTTTACCAGCAGGAATCGAACCTGTATCCTATACGGAGCCGTCATTTAGCTTGATGTGCCTTTACCGAATGGGCCACAGAAGAGCGACCGGTTAGCATGGTCGATTTTACTGTATTTAAACACAATTCCCCATGATTTTCTCATCTATTTCTCAGGCCGGTAAATGTTGTTTAATACTGTTTATTATAACCAGAGAATTTACTTAACTATTTTGTCTATAAAAAGAACGTATAAACATAAAAAATTTCTTAAAAATAACTGTCGGACTTTGACCATTTCATAATGTGTTTATTATTGATATATGGTTGTATCGATATATAATCATTACAATATGTTCTCTGCGTACGTTTTGTTTTTCCCGACATTATACCTACTTTTGCGTCCCCACACCGGTATTGTGCGAGTTTGAATTCATAAACTCCTTGTGCCGGAAATCACGTGAAAGCAATGGTGATTTTTTTCCCACCTTTTTAAGCCAAATTCCTGATCTCTCTCAATATCTTTTCTCGCCTTTTTCCCCAAGTTCTTTTCTTTTTTTTTTTTTTTTCACCAGCATTCGAATGGTGGTGAGATAACATGCGTGGTTTTCATGTTTTGTTTTTCCAAGTTTATTTTCTCATTAAATATCGACCAGATATCCTGCTCGGTATGAAAGATAATTCAAGTTTGAAGGGTTGTTCGTCTGTTCAAATTTAAATCATCCATGTTTATTTAAATAATAAAAAAAATCTCTTGGAACAGGAAAACGCGAAAATTGATTTTTATAGTTTCAGTCTGAAATTCAGAGATTACTTTTTATCATTATATACATCATTCTTCTTTTTTTTTTTAACCCTAATCAAAACGATAATGCCAATAAAACGCAAGGGGCTACTGGGAGTAAAAGAGAAAGAGAAGGAAACGGAAATCCAATCCTAAAGAGGAAACAAGCGTTAAATTACGCGAAGACGATTATAATTTACATAGTTTTTTTTCTTTTCATTATTTGATACATCATGGCCTGAATGAATAACATGACTGGTTCTCAATTCTGACAATCTTGTCAAGAATTTCAAACGTGCAGTGCCATCCATTGCACCATAGGTTTGATGCTTCTGCTGCTAAATCGCATGCCATGAAGGTGTTGGCCAAGGGCCACCTTAACTCTTCAGCTCTCATGGCTGAGCATTAGAAAATCCTTCAAATTAATCTCTTGGAGGTCCTGGCGGACGACGTCCTTCCAGTGTTGTAACCTAGGAAAAGGTTACTGGATTAGAATAACCAAAACGAATGTTGGAATGATTATAACAGCGTACAAGATTCGCCAGCGGCGTGTAGTAAGTAATCCACTGCTAGTGGTGAACTATAGATGAATTCCCTCAGACAGTATATTCCACTGTATCTATGAGGATAGGGAAATTCCCATTATAGTTCATAGATACGATATAACACAGTGGTTGCGTGGTCTGCCACGAGGTCGTCGTCAGTCTGCAGACGATTTTTTATTCATTTATCAACCCTATGCAGGTTATTTAAAGCCAGAAAATATTTTTTGTGAGAATTTTTTGTTGGGGGTAGATAATAATGATTTAGTGATAAAGTCTTGCTAATTAACCTATAGCTGGGAGAACAAGAGGTGGATTCATACCTTTCGCAATGGTATTTGCGCGGAACTGAATATAACTGACATAAATGGAATTGTTGGAACTTGGTTCTCTGATTATCAATTCCAATTCTAACACTTTCGCCTCAGCCCCTCAACCTCCGACGTCTTAATTTCTGGATTGAGGTGCCTACTCGGTCCTAACCGAACTTAAGGGAGTGGCCGTAGGTCCCCTGAGCATGCGTAGATCATTCGACCGGTCCACTGGTTTAATCCCGCTTCCTGCCCACGTTGTGTTTTGGTTTGATCCAGAAAGCAGAAGTGATGTTCATCCATTCACGGTCGACTGAAGATGTAGACATGGCTGGAGAGTCTGCGCTAAGAAATTAGAATGCAGCAAAAAAAAAAAAAAATATCTGCAGAAATCCGGACAAAAAACTATTCAATGATTGAATTGTTAATGTCTTTTATATAGCAGAAAAGAATAGTATAGAAAAGAAAACGGGTTACAGAAAAGAAAAGTAATTGACATAAAAACGCATACACCGGATTCTGGACAGAGAGAGTGTGTTATGATTATCTTGTTGTTAAATCGTCTCAGAACGATATACGACTCTTCCGATGGGGAAATAAGATTTCTGTGCGCGGCTTAAAGTTTACAGTATTAACAATGATAGTAATATTCGTGGTAGCAGAGTCGCGGTACTTATATCTATAGCTCATGTTAGCGGACGCTTCGTTCCAATCTCTGATGTCACGTTCTCTCCTTCTTGAGTCTTCAACTCGACGCTCCACTGTCTCTAGCCCAACTCTTGCCCGGGCTAATTCTCTTCCGTCTGCCTCTTCCGTCTGCCTCTTCCGTCTGCCTCTTCCGTCTGCCTCTTCTGTCTCCACGCTCACATGTCTCTCTCTTCCGTCTGCTTCTACGTCAGCCTAACTACGCATTTATATAGAAAAATCCGGCTGATTACAACTGAACCTTGGCCCTACTACTTCGCACGTGATTATCACGGGGTTTTGGCTGTTTCAACCAAAATCATGTGAATTCTAAAGGTCCTGCTGGCTTACTCAGCTCTATTCCAAGTTTAAATCAATAAAAATTATTTCGACCATTTTCATTGTCTGCTAATGACCCAGTTCCAATGGGTACAGCTTCTACCCTAGATCAGATTTCCCATCAGTAAAAAAAAATGCACTGATCTAAGTTCGCTGTTCGAATCCACTCCAATTTCACTAAAAAAAAAAAAAAATACGCGCGTGCGTGTGTGTGTGTATGTGTGTGTGTGTTTCTCAGACTCTCTCTGCCACACAAGCCATTACCTATCACACCCACTGCACATCCAGTCTTCCAGGACCTGTTATTCCGAAGCTGTCACCTATCTAAATAATTTTATTTTATGATGCAACTCTTACTAATTAACCCATAACTGGGGAGAGAAGAGGTTTCAAGGGTATCAATATAATGAAGACAAACAGAATTGGAAATCGGCTCCCCGATTTAAAATTTAGAGTCATTATGCATTACACCTCCCGCACATCCCGAGCTTAAAACACCGTGTATTCCCAAGCGGTAACCCATCTAGGTACTAACCAGGCTCGACGTTGCTTAACTTCGGTGTTTCAATGTGCTATGGCCGTAAACAAGTTTTGCAGAAAATTGTTCTACGTATTAGATACCTTTGGTAGGATGGTTATCAGGTTGTCACAGGACGTAACCGAACCAGCGAACATGGTTCGTAGCGATGGTGCAAGTGATGTTCGTTTGCTATGGTATTTAATTATTAAATTAATTTCATGAGGAAGTTAATCTCTTTTTGACCTCATATTATAACGCAGGGTAATGGTTAACAAGCTTGTCTCGTTCGATCAATTAAACTGAATAGTAGGTCCGATCCTCACTGGGCGCATTATAATTCCAAGCTTGTGCCACTGTTACAGTTTTTTGTGTGTATATATATATGTAACTAGTGAGTTAGTCAAAATGACCTAATTCCATTTATAGTCTACCAATAGAAGGTTGACCTATCAGAAGCCGCAGAACATTGTATCCGTCGTGTATAAAGGCGGTCATCTTTGTTTAACCTACCGGAATGACCAGAGCCAACTTGTGAGGCGAACAGGACAGACGGAAGAACTACGCTCTGCTACTTTGCTGCGATATCCACTGCTAACCTGCGCTACGCTTTCCTACTGTCTCCGAAATATTCACTGCCATCCTCTGGATTCTATACTCGAAGATGACCGTCATGAATTTGTAACAGGCACAACTAATCTCCGCTTAAAAAATCAACATAATATGGAGACACCTCTTCTTTCCGGTAATATTTATTCCTTTCTTTCGTGTGTTATGTATATTATTTTGTTTTCATACACGCTTTGTGGAGGCCTGTCATTTTTTTTTATAGAGCCAACCAGACAGTAGCATATTCCATTTTTATGAAGATATTTTCCCTGTCTCTCTAGATAATATGAGGTGTCACCAGCACGTGTCCAAGGGAATATCTGCCGGGCAAGACACTCAAATCCGTAGCTTTGTTTGAATTATGTGACATTCATGGACTTTAACCTAATGGCTTGTACGCTCAGCATTGTTTTTGTTCAGTAGGCAATTTTATAGATCTGCTAGCCAGCCATCAATTAAATCAGTAATTTGAATATCATTTTTTTAGCTTCCTTATACGTAAAGTATCATTTAGACATATTTGACATGGAAAGAAATTCCTTCCGTGTTTTATGACCACAAAGTTATTTATCCTGACAGAACAACATAGAAAATATTTCTTTACGTGGCTGTGTAACTGCGTACGGATTTGAGCGTGTGTATATTTGTGTGCATATCTGAAAGAATATATGAGTTTATGTGTAGATATGTATTTGTCTTTATGGGTTGGAGTGTGTGGAACTGAATACATAGCCAGGTCAGTAAGGTTCTTGAAATATTCAAAACAATTTTACGCTCTATATATATGTCTTCCCTTTAAGGAGATGCGAAGTTTCCAGCAGATTTCTATGTATTAAGCATCTTTTTTCATAAAAGGTGCGCCGTTAACTTTTTTCAACACCTGACATATATATATATATATATATATATATATATATATATATATATATATATATATATATATATAGGGTGACCAGAAAAAAACGAGAACTTTTTAACAATCCAATAAAACCAAGAGTGATGGAAGAAAATATTTTATTCATAGTAATTGAAACTACGATGGCAATTCACTAGAGGACATTTGTAAACAATGGAAGCAAAAATTTGAGAACGAGGGCCTAATCTCACGACGGAGATGGGAGAGAAACGAAATAAAATACAGTGAAGAAAATCCATTCTTTAGGGAGTAAACTACAACCACATTCCAAAAACAAACCAACACCACGCTACCTCAATATTTAAACCATCAAAGGATATCACACTCTAGAGAAAATTCAGCCCAAACATTTAGTAAAAGTGATGTAATAAATATGCATACACCTGGTTCCCCCTCACAGTAATATGATTGGCTGGTGTCAGCCATAAATACAGACTGATGTGGAGGGTCAGAACAACGCCTATTGTCTTCGCCTATTGTCTTCGCCTATAGCCTACCACTACGACGAGGACCAGTCCATTACGGTTACCTGCTAGATTGTCCTACTCGGTTATATTAGTCCAAAACCACTTTGCTACTTCGAACAAATATATCCCTTTCATATCAAAAAGTTTAATCAGAAATTCTCCAAGACAACCACCATCATTTCATCCCATAAACAGACCAACAAGAGGAGATAACACTACCAAACCTCGGATGTGCATAAACAATTCCGTACAAAGCCCCAGAAAAAAGACAATCACAAAGAAAATACAGACCAACAAATAGAAGGTACCACTTCAAAGAAAAGTGACCACATAATCGGAACTACAGGAATAACCGTAGAACCAAAGTCTGCACATGACGGACAAATACCAAGGACAGAAGAACAGATACAATACAGAAATGAACATTAATCACAAATACAACAATTGAAAAAGAAAATACCAACATTAGAAACAATATAGCGGAATCCCACCCAAATAACTGTTTTTTTTTTTGGGGGGGGTTTAAAGAGAAACCAGACGTACATGAAGACAGGGTGGTCCATAACCACGAGAAACCGAAAGTAATCAACCTTTCACAAAAAACATTAACAACCACACAAATAGATATCGTATGTAAAGGGCTAAAATCCACACCACCATCACAAAGACTAAATGTAGCACAAATGAAAGATGATGTTTCAGAATTCTTTAGAAGACTCAGACAAGCAGAACAATTTTTGAAGAAGAAAACAATGATAAATCACTAGTAAAAAAAAAGATTATTGTTATGGTCCGGTTCCTTGTACCACGGTGATAGTCCAAGGTAGAACCAAAAGAAGAACTCGAACACAGGTATGGAATAACACAGATATATTAAAAACAGGAATATATACAGAGAAGTAGAAGTGTTAGTATGAACAATCAGATTTAGTAGAGAGAACAATGTAGTCTCGACCAGTATCACTATTCCAATGTCTTGCAATAATTGTCTGAATGCGACTCTGTTTCGGACTGCCTCTGACTCGACTCTTGACTTGACTTGAACTACTGACGATATTCAGTTACCCTCACGAGGGCGTCATATGGCACAAGGCCGGTTTAACGCGGAATCTCCGAGTCCGTGGGCTCGGCCAAAAATATGCCCATTGAACCCGTATAAACGGGTTCAGGGTCGGTTTACCTCCCCGAAAGAGAATCCGCCCTTCGGCGTAGCCTCGTTCGGGTTCCTCCCCGCCCGAAGGCAGAGAGTTCAACCGCCGATCGACTTGAACTACTGATTCGACTTGCCTACTCCTGAGGCGCAGTATTTATTAAGTATGGAATCGTCCATTATTATTATTATGGGTAAGATCCCATAACAATTATCAAGCCTCAAAAGACAAAAACGCAGTTATCTCGAGTTTCCCATTTGACAAAGTGGAAAATTCCTCAAAGTCCGAATTCAACAGACAAAAATGAAACCAACTAAATTACCTAAAACTGTACAAAAAATATTGTTTTAAAAGAAGCTGATAAAGTAGGCGCAGTTGTTATGCTGGATACAAAACAATACACAAGCATTATACAAAATAAGCAATAGGATGATACCTACTATAGAGAAGCAAGTCAATACCAATCTCATAAAGTGATGAAAAAACTCACCATTTTAATACATCCATAACGAGGCTGTATAGCTTTTAAAGAATATGACTACCTTACAAACATTAGATGTAAAACAAGCAATCTCCATGGACTACGTAAAATACACAAAAATAAACTCATCACCGAAACGTGCAATATAATAAAAGCTGATTGTGTGAATATAGCCTCACCAACCGAGCTAAACATAAGACCTATAATAGCAGGCCCAATTTGCTAGACACACTACATAAACTTTTCATAGACATTTTTTGAAACCTCTCAGCAAACACGTTTAGAGCTTCATATGAGATGATCAAGATTTTCTCAATCATCTCCCAAATGAGGTAACCTGTAAGACTTACATAGTCTCGATGGAGGAACCTATGTAGCAAAATCCCACACGACTACGGAATAGTGGTCATTAAATACTGGCTAGAGACCTTCTCTCGTGAGCTACTAAACTGTATCAATGGAAATTTCATCATAGAAAGCCGTGTATTCATCTTAATAACGTCCTGGGTATGACGATGAACTACATCCGCGTCCTGGGTAAGACGATAAACTACGTCCAACAGCAAGGCCTCTGATCAGGTAGTTTTGAGGAACCACCTCATAATTGCTGATGTTCTCAGGTCCACCCTGACCCGGGGTGGTAGTACCCGGTAAGGTTTCCAGCTATGCGCAAATAGTTAACCCCCAAACTGGTGTCAAAACATAATGAAATTGTAAAAATAGATTTTAATACCAGAAATATGTTTTTTAAAAAATCATTGCCAGCAATACGTTTTTACAGAAAAAATATTACCAAAAATAGATTTATAAAGAAAAAAAATACCAGCAACAAAAATATTGTTGAAATTGGATAATCCAGTGAGGTTGATATGCCATAAAACAAACCAAACCAAACCAAACTATCGCTATGAATGTATTTCAAAATATTGTTGGAATTAAATGACCCACTGAGGTTTTGATATGCCATAAAACAAAACAACCAACCAAGCAGAAATAGATTTTATTACCAAAAATGAAAATTTTGTTAGTATTAAATAAGCCATTGAGGTTGATATACCATAAAACAAAATAAACCAAACCAATCAAAACCAAAGAACACATATTCTATTCATACGAAACCTCTCCTAAAAATGTTGTCGGCATTAAGTAACCCATTGAGGTTGATATGCCATAAAACAAAATAAACCAAACCAATCTAAAACAAAGCATACATATTCTATTCATACGAATCTGTCCTAAAAATGTTGTCGGCATTAAATAAGCCATTGAGGTTGATATGCCATAAAACAAAATAAACCAAACCAATCAAAATCAAAGAATACATATTCTATTCATATGAATCTATCCGAAAAATGCTGTCGGCATTAAATAAGCCATTGAAGTTGATATGCCATAAAACAAAATAAACCAAATCAATCTAAACCAAAGAATACATATTCTATTCATATGAATCTATCCTAAAAATGTTGTCGGCATTAAATAACCTATTGAGATTAATATGCCGCAAAACAAAATAAACCAAACCAAACCAAACCAAAGAATACATATTCTATTCATATGAATCTATCCTAAAAATGTTGTCGGCATTAAATAACCCATTGAGGTTGATATGCCATTAAACCAAACAAATCAAAACCAAAGAATAAACTATTCAAACCAATCAAAAAATGTTGTCAAATTAAATAAAACCATTGAGGTTGATATGCCATAAAACAAAATAGACCAAACAAATCAAAACCAAAGAATACATATTCTATTCATATGAATCTATCCTAAAAATGTTGTCGGCATTAAATAAGCCATTGAAGTTGATATGCCGTAAAACAAAATAAACCAAACCAAACCATGAACTAAAAATCTATGAACGAACCTCATAAATCTATGAGAATGACTTCAGCTACTACATGAAAGAAAACTGGAAAATATATCTAGATGACAGTTTTATTCTGTGGAATGGAAATCTTGATAAACTAAGGACTTTTCAAGCATCCATTAATAATATAAATCCTAGCATTCAATTTAATATGGAGAACGACACTAGAAAGCTTCCCTTTTTAGACGCATTAATATCCAAAAGAAACAATAAACTAAAAATCGGCATGTGTTTTAAATCTACTCACTCTCGACAGTATTTCCTTTTTTGCATCTTCCCATCCGAAATACACTCCTACCAACATTTCACACAACCTAGCCAAATAAATCGATACAATAGTCTCAAACACAGTAACAAGAGACTACAGATTGAAGAGAATGAAAAACTACTCATCAAGAGGAAATGCCCTCAAAGTTTAATCAACAATAGCATTGAAAAGGCAAAACAAATATCCATACACTCCTAGAAACAAAAGCAAAGGTCATCCCTTATATCTGGACTTTTAACCCAAAGAACACAGAAATCTACCTACACACCTACAACTAAATCTACCAATCCTACTAACAAATGAAAAACCTACTAGAAAAATAACCAATCATAAAAAGTAAACAACATCTGAAATCAATAAAAATGATACTGGCAAGTAAAACACTGCAGACGAGAATTAAAGCGTCTCCAATGAAAAGATGAAACCTTTGCTCCTTTGTGGATTATGCAGCTACCTATTAGAAAGCCCCAAATATCACTTCAAAGATGGGTCCTAAAATTCTAAATTAAAAATGATTTCTCGTGCAACTCAGAGAATGTGATATACATAACATGCAAAGGCTGCTACGAACATTACATTGGCCAAACCGTGTAGACACTCCGCTGACCGTTCATCAACAAATTAGGGACCCCCACACCCTAGCCAACATATAGAGGAATGCGAAGAACAAAATCTGCCAAATTTCAATATCTTTCCATTCTACCAATCCGACTACAAAACCATCGAGCAAATGTGTATTTAATAATGAAACGTTTTATCAGCAAGTTTAAACCAATAATCAATTCAGTGCATAAGCCAAAGGCACGTCCTCAAAATTATCGCTTTAAACGACATTTTTAGTGGATATTCGTATTTAAATATACTGTTTAATGAATGGATGAAGCGCTTACTCATATCTTAAAATAACGTTTGAAGAGATAAGAAATCTGTCAGTGTAATAAAAATCTATTCTAACACACATATATATATATATTAAGATGCTTTTATACATTCTTTTTTATAGATACAAATATTTAAGCAAATGCTCTATTTATAATAAACAGTATTAACAACATTTACCGGCCTGAATGTCCCAGAACTTGTCATAGAAAACATTTGCTCTCCGACAGGAATCGAACATGTATCCTATATGGAACCGTCATATAGCCTGACGTGCTTTTACCGGTTTCGCTGCAGAGGAGCGTTTCGGTTAGCAAGGTCGAATTTACTGTTTTTAAACTACAAATTTCCATGATTTTCTCACGTACATTCATATCTGCTCGATGCATATCCAAATGTAAACAAATGACGTCACACATTATGAAATGGATAAAGTCCGACAATTATTTTAAGACATTTTTAAGTTACCGACCTGAATGTCCGAGAAATTTTCATAGAAAATATCCGTGCGCCTCACTGTAAATATGTCTAAGAAAACCAATAACAACAAAATTGTAATATGAGCTCTGGTAAAAAAATTATAACTGAGACGTTACTTTTATATGTCCCCACTTTTAAACACTGATGTCCTCAAGGAAACATGGCCCAGTAGGTAAAAGCTGAGGTGAATAAAAAATTGGAGAGTTGGGTTAAGGGAAGGTAACTGATACGGAAATACCCGGAAGAGGCACGGCACGTGGAACTAGAACTAAATAAAGGGTTCAGTTCGAAATTCTAAATCACCTGAAGAAGGCAACGAAGATGAAGATAACAGACCGAACAATGTAAATAGCGTAAAAAATTCCCATACCTCATCTCAGAAATATCGACAGATATTCAAAGTTACTCCAAAAAATGAACTTTCCTAGAAAACATTTGACATATAATACTAGAATAGACAAGATGTCATACATAAATATGAACATTAAGAGAAGGAAAACTCTGAAGTTAAACCTTCGCTCCCTTGCGGCCATATCCAATCATAGGAAAGTCTTCGGGAGAAAGCCCTGAGGTCAAATCCGGAGCGGGAATTCAACGTTGATCTGGCAACTCTTGCGACGACACCGAGGCCAAGCTGTATTAGACTCTACCTTTCCCTTGAACAACATCGGTGGCGTGGAACTGGCAGGCGTTGTATGAGCAACCGGTGATCTCTCATAAAATTCCCTACCCATAGAGCTGCGCACTGGAAAGGTCAGGCCAATGTTGCCTCACCGCGACAGCAAGATACGGGAAGCAAGAGTCTACTAATGGGAAGATTCAGAACGTCCTTCAGTATAGCCACCGGCAAGAGGGCACTAAGACGATCACATCTTCGCTTCAAGGACGTCTGCTAAAGTAACATTCATGGCGAAGGGCATGGATATCGAGAGGTGGGAAGACGTCTCCAACGATCGCTCACGTTCGAGACGCGATTTACACCGAGAGCTGGAACGAGAATTGACATTGAGGTGAAGTGTGCTTGAAGGAAAACCAAAAGGACGACAGCTTTAGGGAATGGGTCTTTACATGTATTCGTTGTAATCGAGATTGACACTCCAGTGTCGGCCTGTACAGATGTTGCGCCGACATCAGAAGCTGAGTCATAACTTTTTGGGCGCAGATACATCCATGGTCTCGAGAGAGAGAGAAACGACTGCCACCACACCACACACATTTATCACAATCAGAGAAGTTATATCACAGAAGAAAAAAATAGTATTTGAATATAAGGAAGGTTTTGGTTTAATACACTAGGAAGGACAATGTGAGTTCGGGTGGTATCGTTTATGCTACATATTAAGGACGAATGGTATTCGCACGATGCTTACCACAAATATCTATCTTGTAATCTGAAAAGGTACATTCTACCACCGATTTATCTCGTGGCCTGATAAAGAACAAGCTGCCATCTATCTATCTCCTGGCCTGAAAAAGAACACGCTACCATCTATCTATCCCTCTATCTATCTCGTGGCCTGAAATGGAACACGCTAACGTCTATCTGACTCGTGGCCTGAAAAGGAACACGCTACCATCTATCTCGTGGCCTGAAAAGGAACACGCTACCACCTATCTCGTGGCCTGAAAAGGAACACGCTACCATCTATCTTGTGGCCTGAAAAGGAACACGCTACCATCCATCTATCTATCTCGTGGCCTGAAAAGAAACACGCTACCATCCATCTATCTATCTCGTGGCCTGAAAAGAAACACGCTACCATCCATCTATCTATCTCGTGGCCTGAAAAGAAACACGCTACCATCCATCTATCTATCTCGTGGCCTGAAAAGAAACACGCTACCATCCATCTATCTATCTGGTGGCCTGAAAAGGAACACGCTACCATCTATCTATCTATCTCGTGACCTGAAAAGAAATACGCTACTATCTATCTCATGGCCTGAAAAGGTACAAGGTGCCATCTATCTATCTGGTGGCCTGAAAAGGAACACGCTACATCTAACTATCTACCTCGTGGCCTGAATAGGAACGCGCTACCATCTATCAATCTCGTGGCCCGAAAAGGAACAAGCTACCATCTATCTATATCATGGCCTGAAAAGGAACAAGCTACCATCTATCTGTCTCGTGACCTGAAAAGGAACACGCTACCATCTATCTATCTCGTGGGCTGAAAAGGAAAACGCTACGATCTATCTATCTTGTGGGCTGGAAAGAAACAAGCTACCATCTATGTCTCCGTCAGAAACTAATCAAGAACTGAATTCGTCACATCAACAAACTGTAGTTTAGTATTAATGCTAATATTTCTCAATGTCGAGTATTTTCCTTAAAAGATCATTTTTCTCATTAACGTTATAAGCTGATGTTTTATACGCCAGGCCAAGTCATAGTGCCTCTGGATCTCAGAACTGGAGCCTCATTTTGATTTGTACTTAGGGATAACCGCACATGTCGAAAGTGAAACAAATAGAAATATATATTTCTGGTTTAAGGCACTAGCAACAATTAAACATTAATATAAAGAACATTTTACTTTTAATGATCCAAGAAATGATAAGGCCAACACAAGTGCTATATTTTATGTTACATATTTAGGGAGGATTTTATTCACTCGTTCACCTATCGTCGTTTACCGACCACATCTATCTCGAGGCCTGAACAGGAAGTCGCTACCATCTATTTTTACGCCAAAGGCACATCGTTATCTATCCTTCCTATCCTCATAATCTTTCCTTCCTGCCACCTCCTCTTACATTCCTATCACACACCTCATTTATTATGACCATTTTAACAATAACCCTCTACCTTCACTGGCTCTCGAGCCCTATATTTGTTGAACTTAAAAAATCGTAAACTGGATTTGCGATAAGTTTAAAGTTTTAAAATACTGCAAAAGTTTTCGTTTTTATTTCTTTAGGACAGCTTCTGCCACGGAGATAAACATTTAGTTTCCATGGTTAAACATACTATTTTGCATAATTCTTAATTGAATACTGTTCCTAACCTAGCATATCTGTTATGATATTTATCTCGAGCTAAGTTGCTGCCTTCGTCCTTTAGCTATCGCATCTTTTTATCTCGAGGCCTGAACAGGAAGACGCTGCCATCTATGTCTACGTGGACAGCTAATAAACAACTGAACTCTTCGCACTAAAAGGCTGTAATTACTGACGGGTTGTCACTTGACCTTCTTTTCGTTATGAAATTCATCCCGTAAAAGAAGGAATAATCACCTTCTGTATTTCTACAATTTATTAAATAACACCTGTCTTATAGAATTTACTGAATATCAAATGAGAGAAAGGTACCTTCGTTCTCCAGTATTCTCCTTATTACTACAGGATACCACTAGATCATGATCAGCAGCTACTGGATAGAGTTTGAGTAACATTACCAATTGAGTATTTGATCGAAGGCAAGCAGGATATTTCGGTTCCGTAGAGGAAAATACTAATTGTTTATTTGGTTCCACTACTATAGACCTTTACAGTTAGGACACGCAATGCTACTTTCACATAGTTGAATCATCCTTATATCCCCCATATACAAATGCAAGAAGATAGTCCCATTCAGGAACTTTTTCCGAAGAACTACTTTGTGAAAGATATTCCCGAGTGGTATTCCTCCGTGGACACCTTACATTTAACCTCTGCTAGTCAGGGGTCAATTCTTATCTATCCTCTCTATCCTTATAATCTTCACTTCCAGTCACCTCCTTTTACATTCATATCGCCTCATTTCTTATGACCATTTTAACAGCAACACTCTACACTAAAAACTTAACCTCTTCAAGTCAAAGCCCATCGTTAGCTATCCTTCCTATCCTTATAATCTTTCCTTCCTGCCACCTCCTCTTACATTCCTATCACACACCTCATTTATTATGACCATTTTAACAATAACCCTCTACCTTCACTGGCACTCGAGCCTTCTATTTGGTGAACTTAGAAAATCCTAAACTGGATTGGCGATAAGTTTAAAGTTTTAAAATACTGCAAAAGTTTTCGTTTTTATTTCTTTAGGACAGCTTCTGCCACGGAGATAAACATTTAGTTTCCATAGATAAACATACTATTTTGCATAATTCTTAATTGAATACTGTTCCTAACCTAGCATATCTGTTATGATATTTATCTCGAGCTAAGTTGCTGCATTCGATTATTGACGATCGCATATCTATCCACAGAGTCGACGGGCATTATTATCTTTTTCTGAATTATCGATATTATTAGTTTAATTTTTTCTTCTTCTTCTTCTTCTTCTTCTTCTTCTTCTTCTTCTTCTTCTTCTATTACTATTATTATTAGTAGTAGCAGTAGTAGTAGCAGCAGTAGTAGTAGTAGTAGTGACGCTTAATTATCGGCATTGTCACCGAATGAACAAGTGAATATTGAATTTTCCATTGCACTGGTATTTTTGTTGCCATTTCCATTTCACTCGCTGGAGATAATTAAATGTCACAAAATACAACATGGCCTCGCAATTACCGCGGAAAATGGAATTATGGCGGGAAAAAAGGTCGTCATTCGATGCCTTTTACCAAAAGGTTCAATTTAAACGCTATTTCGTTTTTGTATTTTTATATTTTTCTTTAATTTATTTCCATTTTAGTTTTTTTTTTTTTTTAATATAAAATTGCTTCACGGCCATTTCTCTCTTGCACGCTCCTTTAAATATGATAAAAACGAAAACAGAAAAAAATTAACTTAAAATTCTACAAAACCTTGAAAACTTGCAAAATAAAATATTAGATATTCAATCAGAGCAAAATGAATGGGAAGGTAATCGGTGAAGAATTTTTTTTAAAAAAGAGCCCATCGTAAATAAACGATTTCAAAAATGTTTATAATTAATATCAAAGACGAATGAAGAGGAGATTCAACCATTTTTTCTTGCATCCAGATGAAATTCCTTTTTAATATATTTGCCAATAATTTCATTAATTAACCAATCAATCAATAGCTTCGATACTCTTTGCGTACAAATAATCAATAATGACGTTACACCAGATAGAGAGAGAAAAATATTATGAATGGATAGAGATAGATAGATAATTAAGAGATAGATAGATAGATAGATAGATAGATAGATAGATAGATAGATAGACATATTTTAAATGAATTGAGGTAGATAATTAACAGATAGATAGAGAGTGAGACATATGAATGCATTGAGATCGATAGATAATTAACAGATAGATAGATAGATAGATTATGTATGGATTGAGATCGATAAATAATTAGCAGATAGATAGAGGGAGATATATTATGAATGGATTGGGATCGATAGATAATTAAAAGATCGATACATAGAGAGAGACATATTATGTATGAATTGAGATCGATAACTAATTAACAGATAGATAGAGAGAGATATTGTGAATAGATTGAGATCGATAGATAATTAACAGATAGATAAATAGAGAGAATTACATATTATGAATGGGCTCAGATATTAAACGATACAGAGAGAGACATATTATGAATGGATTGAGATAGATAGATAGATAGATAGATAGATAGATAGATAGATAGATATAGATAGATAGATAGTGAACATCAGTGTCAGGAGATTGTATTTAATCGATTTTCCTATATACACACTCTCTATATCTATAAAAGCTCTCCGTTCGATATTGTACATTCTTTCCTAATAAATATAATAAATTTTCCTCAATAATACAGATGCAAGACGAAATCCATGCCTGTTGGAGGAACCCCTCCCTGTACTGATCAGGAGTGATGCCGTACGCACCACGCTTGGCCAAGTGCGAGTTCGTGAGACTACTTAACCCCTTGTTTCGGGTGGATGGCAGTTGACGCTGAGGGATATGTCTCACATTAATGAGTTCTTTTTTGAGCTTCTGGCGATCCACTTACCCACGTCACTAGACCAGAAATGGGGGTGGTGAGCCGGTTTAGCCGCCGACTACTCGACCAAATACATCACACATGTGTGTATGTATGTGTGTGCCTGTGGGTGTGTTTACTGCGTATGTGCGCGTGTACGTTTGCGTGTGCCTGCCTTAAACAAATGCAATTAAATGTTCAAATTTTACTTTTGAATATTTTCTTTCGTAGGTGCTATCCGTTCATCAACGGCTTAATCTCCTGAAAACCAAATACCGTTTGCTCAACTCGGAGTTAGGAGATACGTCCTGATAATTTATTTTTTTAGGCATTTCACCCCAGGCAAGTGGGGAGTCCCACAAGCACCCAAGGGGTTACAGAGAGTGAAAGTAAGAGTAAAGCGGGGGTGTTTGAGGAAAGGATTTCGAGAAGGACGGGGATTAGGATTAAAGCGTTAAGATGTCGATTACATTTGAATATTTGAAGATTATAGCTACCAGAGTAGCAAGTAGGAGGAAGGGAGTTCCACTGTCGGGAAGTGCGAGATAAGAAGCTGTTACAATAGAAGAGGCGGTTACATTTAACTGTTTCGGCAGTGAGAGTGTGAGACCGAGATGCCAACCTAGTAGCACTCTTAAATCCAAGCAGTTGGGTAACACTGAACGTAGTTCGTCAGAGCAGTTGAAATGAAAATATTTGTAGAAAAGGCAGAGGCAAGCCACAGTGAGAAAGTGACTGTAGACGAGATGCCAAATCAGGACCTAATTGCATATCCGTCTCCAGTATTTTGTCGAGGACCACGAGATGAACAGCGGGGCAACAGACCATATATGGCAACAGTATTCAATGCATGGACGAATGGTAGGTTTGGAGGATGGACTCTGGCGTGAAAAAAACCTTCTGGCGCGACACAGAGAACCAATTTTACTTGTTTAGTGTTAATGTTCTATTTCTCAATGTTGAGTACTTTTCCTACAATAGACCATTTTTCTTATTAGCGTTATAAGCTGACGTTTTATACGCCAGGCCAAGTCATGGTGCGTCTGGATCCCAGAATTGGAGCCCCATATCAAAATGTTTGAATTTCAGGCGAAATGTTCAAAGTTAACACTGTTTGAAAATATTTGTAATGCCATTTTGACTTGTAGTTAGGGATAATCCCACGTTTCGAAATTTAAACAAATGAAAGTATATATTTCTGTTGTGGGCACTAGCAACAATTAAACACGCACATTTTAAATTTTAAACAAGAGCATTTTATTTTTAATGACCCAAGTAAGGATAAGGCCAATACGGGTGATATTTTTTACGTTCCATATTTA